CTCTTTTTCCATCATCATATTTTGTCACCAACGTTTCTTAACACGCATCATCTCGTATCAAATTTAAACTTTTTTTTAGAATCTGAGATGTGACTAAAACGTACCTTTGCATGAATTTAACGTGGAAGCTCCCGTGTTTGTGTACGTCCCTCTTGGGCATCGGAAGCACTCCGTTAAGCCGTACAAATCACCATAATAATCTTGTGGACAAGGAACGCATGCCATTTCCATGATTCCTTTAAACTGTCCTGGATGGCATGGATCTGAGAAATGGATCTTTAGATGTAAATTTTGTAAACTTTCACAACTAAAATAAATCCACTGCTTAGTTTATTCAAAGGTTTTTTTTTATTTTATGGGCTAAATGAAAATTAGAAATAAAATCAAAAATTCTGCTCATATGTCCGAAGCAAAGCACGACTTACAACATTGGCTTTCTCTTAGCGTGTATCCTGTAGGGCAGTCCCCGCCATTCTCAGGTTGTACATATGCTAAAGTAAGATACAAAATAGTTTATAGTTCATGTATTGACAACTTAAGAAGCAACATTTTGCACCAATATGACTTTGTTCTTACTTTCAAAAAATTATTCGATATTAAATAAAACAAAAGATGAAGATATGGGAGTAAAATTAGTTAAATTTGTTAGATTGTTTTTTAATAACATTATTGTCCGATTTATAACCTTTCCTGATAAAGCATAATTAATTATTCGCTATGCTTATTATATCATAGCCATACTTGTTTTCAGCCCATTTTAATCTTCTGTTTAAAAGAAACGAACAAAGTGAAGCACGTGGAAGAACGTATTGCAAAAACTTTCGAAAACCTGAAATTATTTATATATTGGTGTTTTAAACTTTTCCTGGTCTACGTAGTTCAGTATTATTTGTGTTATTTATCTCTTTTGTTTTAGTTGTTTAAAACCAAGTTATTATTTGTATAATATGCATAGATATACCCTATGTAGTTCAGTAGTAAGCTTGAGAGCTTATAATGTTAAAATTCGCAGCTCGATACCTGTGATGGGCACAGATCAGATAGCCAATGTTGTAGCTCTCCGCTTAAAACAAACAATATATATTTATATTATTAAGGTTTGCCTTTATGTTTTAACTTACTATTACTGTCAATAATTGAATAGTTTTCTAGCTCTTTGATATTTAATATTAATTATTATGTTTAATAGACCAATCAGCAATCAATAATAAATACAACACTATATATTGTTTACTAGATTAAACACGTGGAGTACGAGCCATCTACAAAGACCAGCAAAGACCAGAACTAAAAATATACTCAGTGATGAGTATGGCTAATGAAATATACTATTATAACTTTCTCACTGATAATCAGTAGAATGTATTGTTTCATCAGTTAGATGTGATATG